TTTTTTTTTTTATTGTTTTCTCTCTGCTACGTCAAATTAATCACTTTAAAATTTAAAAATCACAATAATTTAAAGTATCCATATATATGTATATACGTTTCCCCTATATTTAACTTACTTTTCTTAAATAAATTATATATAAATTTTACTTAAAGCTCAATTTTATGAATGCTGCTTCGCTGTAAGCTATGACAGTTTGGGATTTCAATGTAAGCACGTTTTGCTTCTAATCTCATCACCAGTGCATACACACAAACACACACCCACTCATACACTGGCAGACCCCGCTGCTGTCTGTGTGTTGATTATAGCTTAGTTTATCAAAGCGTTTGCCTTATTTATATTTTCGACTGGCAAAGCGCGACTAAAGAAAATATTTACAATGCAGTGGAGCGATAAAATGAAAGTGACACGCCCCCAACCCACAGCCCAACATAGTCCAAGCAAACCCTAGCCCAGTTCAGTGCGCTGACCAGTGGCCAGTGAAATAGTGTTTAGGGCAGCGTAGGCATGGCTCATACTCTACCCAGACAAAATCGTGTGTGTCATGGCAGTTAGAACATAATCAAGTTTCAATTTCAAAACAATTCGACAGCCAAAAAAGAAAAAAAGAAAAAAAAACTGCTCGAAGAGAAAATTTCGCACAAAAGAGAGTGCTTGGAATTTTAAGCATCGTCTCGATAAGATCTGTGTGTGCGAGAGGGGGCGTGGCACACGTATGTGACGATGTCGTCAATGTTGTCATGCGAGTCGCAGTGCGCAGGGGGCCACAGAAATTAAATGGAAACGAAAACGAGCAACAGCAACAGCAGCAGCAGCAGAGCGGCAGCAGAGCGGCAATAGCAGCAGCAGCAGCAGCGCAAAAAAATGCCAGTGAAATGTACACAAAAGGCAGCCCAAGCTGCCTTGCATTTGACAGCACAGGAGCAGGAGAAGCAGCAGCAAGAGCAGGGGCAAAGAGCAGGAGCAGGAGCAGGGGAAGGTACACATCAAAGCGCCGGCTGCACGCATCGATGCCAGAGCCAGAGCCAGAGCCAGAGCCAGAGCCAGGCGAGCAGCCTCGACTCGGCGCTGTGTGTAGTTCATTATGGGCACTAGAACAGTTTAATGTCGTTTAAAGAGTCGCAGCCACAAAGCAGCGCGAAACAAAGCCACAAAATGTGGACAGCAATGGCTGAGGAAAGGTAGGCGCTGTCGGGTGGGGCGTGGCAAATGCAAGGGTTTCCCCAACGCCAACATTGCGGACAATGGTCGTGCCACATTGTGTGACGGTGTTGGTTGGCCCTAACTCTCCATCTCTCTCCCTTTCTCCTACTCTCTGTGTCACCCTATCTCTCTCTTTCACAGTGTGTGTGTGTGTGTGTGTATTATAAGCAATTTTCCATTTTCCACATTATTTTTTGCTTTGCAAGTTTTGCGCTTTGCGCTTTGTTACACGCTGACAGGCGACTATGAAAGCGAAACGTAATGAAAATGGCAACAAACAAAATAATTGAAATTTGGTTTAGCAACAACAACAGCAACAACAATACTAGCAACAAAAAAAAAAACAACAACTAAGCCATGAAAAAATTGGCCAAATGAGAACGAAAAAAAAAAAAAAAAAAGAAAAAAAGCGACACACACACAGAGAGAGAGAGAGAAAAAAAAAAAAAAAAAGAAAAAAAAAGAGCGAGAGAGATGGAGAGAGACCCCAAAAAAAAAAAAAAAAGAATTTAAGCCAAGTCGCGAGAGAGAGAGAGAAACCAAAAAAAAAAAAAAAAGAAAAAAAAATCCAAGCCGAGAGAGAGAGAGAGAGAGAGAGAGAGAGAAAGAG